GGGCGCGGGGCCGAGCGGCGGGGCGGGGCCCGGCCGGCACCGGGACTGCTCCGCCGCCGCCAATGAGGTGAGGGGGGGCGGCGGCGATCGGCACGGCACGGCATGGTATGGTATGATATGGCATGGCACGGCACGGCATGGTATGGCACGGCATGGCACAGCTCAGCTTGGCACAACATGGAATGTCTCAACTGGGCTCAGCCCAGCTTGGCACAGCTTAGGTTTGGCCCAGCACAGCATGATGGCACCAGGGACCAGCACCATTTGGGCCAGCCCGGAACATGGCATGGCCCACTTCAGTTTGACACGGCTCAGCTTGGCTCAACTAGGCACATCCTGGCTTGGGTCAGCCCAGTTCAGCACAGCCATGGCACAGATCAGTTCGGCACGATTCAGCTCAGCATGGCATGGCTCTGCACGCAATGGTACAGCATTGTGCTACTCAGCTCAGTTTGGTATGGCACGCCTCAGCCCAGGGACCTGCACTGAGCTGCTTGGTTCAGCCTGGCATGGCTCAGCCAACATCGTTTGACTCAGTCCACCACAGTTCAAGTCAGCATGGTACAGCACAGCTCAGACCTGCACAACTTGGGATGGCAAGGGGTCCATTATGGGTTGGCTGGCCCAGCATGGCTCGGCCCAGCATGGTTTAGTGCAGCTCAGCTGGGCTGGCATGTTCTGGCATGGCTCAGCTCGGCATGTCATGACACAGGGCTGGCATGGCTCAGTTTGGTACTGCCTGGCATGGCCAGGTACCTGACCTGCTCTGGCTCCACTTGGATCAGTGCAGTTCAGCTCAGGTTGACATGTACGAGCAGGGCTGTCACAGTTTGGCTTGGCACAGCATGGTGGGCCTGGCTGAGCTTGGCCTGGCACAGTTCAGCACAGCACAACTCTGTTTGGCCCAGCACAGCATGATGGCACCAGGGACCAGCACCATTCGGGCCAGCCCGGAACAGCTCAGCCTGGCACAGCATGGCTAAAGCTGGGCCCAGCACAGTGGCGTGGTGTGGCCAGCGGTTCAGCAGCGCTCACAGGAGTGCAAAGGGGTGCCTGCTCAGTGGCAGTGGGGTGATGCAGCCCCTACCACAGCTCCCTGGGGCAGGAGGCTCCCGTGGCTCCCCACCCTGACAATCAAGCTGGCGGCCTGAGCCCCGCTGCCTGCGGGCAAGCACGCACTGCCATCTCCTGTCTGGCCTGCCTGTTCCAGCCCCCACCCTGTCCTGCTGGGACACCCCGGGGTGTGCATGGCTGTATGGCTGTGCTTCCCCTCTGCCTTTCCCCCACCAGGCCCAGGAGAGGCTGCTGTGCCCCTTTGTGGAAACTGAGGCAGGGGAAAGAAGTGGCAGGTGGCAGCTTCGGGCAGTGGGAGTACATTGGTGGTTTCCCGGGGGAGCCTGGGAGTCCTGCTCCTCCCATTCCTGCCCGGGGCCCCGGCTCTTACTCATCTCCTTCCCAGACATCACAGCCAGCCGGGAAGGCTCTGCCCTGCCAGCAACGCCTGCGGCTCCGGCTGCCTGCAGGCTGGCTGGGTGCAGCACCGTGGTCAGGGAGGTTGGGCTTGCTGTGCCGGGCTGGCGAGCAACTGTGCCGGGCTGGCTGTGCCCGGCCTTGCTCAGCCCCGCGCAGGAAGGGGGCTGAGCAAGTTTGCATTGGCAGCCCCCGTCCACCAGTGCTTGCCCTGAGCCCTGCCTGTGTCCTGCCCAGCCCAGCTGCAGGCAACCCAGGACATGTGCCCTGTCCTTGCACCAGGGGGTCTCAGGGCATGGGACTGGGGTGGTCCCTGGGCTGTTTGTGACACTAGACCCCACCCAGCAGCGATGCACGACCTGCCTCATGTCCATGCCTGGCCTGACGCTCCTGCTCTCCCCTGAGGTCTTGCCCCCCCCTCCCCTTGCTGTGCCCCCAACTCGTGGCCCGTTCCTGCCTTGCTTGGACTTTTCCCAGCCTCCTCTGAGCTCAGCTGCCCCCATGCCCTTTCCCAAATGAGTAACCAGGGCTGCCCGGCCAGGCGTGAGGGCTCTGTGCCTTGGCTCATCACATGGCCCCACACCCCATTAAACACCGCATCCGCCACCCCCACCCCGGCACCCCCCCGAACGGCCCTCCCCACTGTGCCCTGATAGGACCGGGAAGGGTGGGCAGCACCCAAGGCAAGGCAAGCAGCCTCCCCCCCGGCTCCTCCCACTGTTCCTGTGCCTGCACCAGTGGTTCCCAAACAGAGTGTCTGTGTGTCCCCCTGGCCCCCTCTGTCCCGGCAGGAGAGCAACAGTGTCCCGTGGGGGTGGGCACTGTGCCGGGCGCTTTGCGGGGGGCATGAGCTGCGGCTGCCTGCACCCTGCTCTGTGGTGCGCCCACGGAAACCGCCTCGGGGAAGCCCCACGGAGCCACAGAGCAGCACCGGGGCCGGGGGGCTGTAGGGGCAATGCCTCAAATGACCCGTTCCAGCGAGAGGGTGGGCATCAGCCTCACAAACCCTCGGCCTTGGGCAGGTGCCGGGAGAAAGACCTCGGGCTGCGATGGCCAAGCCCGGTGAAGCCGTGGGCACGGTGATGCCCGTAGGGTGGGTACCACCGGGGGAGCCGGCCGCCCTCCTCGCCGCCGGGCTCCGCCCCGCCGTGTGCCTCGGTGACACGGCCCTTGGGCTCGGTGCCCACCTCCGGCTGGGGACAGCGAGACACTGGGCAACCTGGCTGTGGGAGCGACCCCCGGGCTCTGTGCCCGCTTGCGGCAAGGAGCACAAAGGTGCCGATGGCCACTGCCGGAGGCAGGGGGCGAGCCGGAGGTCCTCTTACCCCAGTAGAGCCCCACGCCGGGCTCCAACCCCCTCCCCTAGGACTCAGAGCGCTCCTGGCCCTTTAAACCCTGATTGGGGCCGTGCCTTTAAAAGGGGCCGAGGGGCCGGTCTCTCTCGCCCTGCAGGAGGAGGCTAGCCAGGAGCAGGTGGGCTGAGCGAGCTCGTCCTCCCCACCCACCCCATTTCACTCCCCTCCACCTCACTCCCTCACCCCGCCACTTTTACAGCCCCTGTAGCCAGGCTCCTGGCCGTCTGGCTCTGCCGCTGGTCTGGGTTTTAGTCGGGAATTTGCACCGCTTTTTGCATAAAGAGAGCCCCCTTCCCCCCCCCATCCCCGCCTCCCGCCCCGTTCCTGTGCCACGCTGAAGCAGCTGGCATGGTTGTTCTGGCTTGATAGCAGCTGGCAGCTCCCTGGGATCTCCTTTTGTTGGTGCCCACGACCAGCTCTGTCTCTCCGGGCTGGGGAGAAGCATGACTGCAGGCTCCCCCTGATCCTTCTGCCAGCCAGCCCCACCTCACCCCCCTCACCACTCCCCTACACCTATCATGGCTCTGCTCCGTCCCTTCACCAGCCTCCTCCTACTCCTCACGGTGCCCCTTTCCCGGCCTGCAAACCGGTCCCTGCTGCCCCCTGGCTCCCTGCCTGCTGTCCCCTCTCTGCCCCTCCTGCAGGCCCTGCAACTGCGAGCACCGGGCAGCCGGGGCTGGAGAGCGGGGCTAGCAAGCAGGCAGCCCCTGCGCTACATGCTGAGCCTGTACCGGCGTGCTGCTGACCATGAAGGCCGGCCGCGCCGTGGCCGCAGCCTGGGTACCAACACCATCCGCCTGGTCCAGGCCAGTTCCCACGGGGGTCAGCCCTGGGCAGGTAAGGAGCAGGGGGGCAACCTAGGGTAGTGCAGGGGCTTAGCAGAGCCGGTGGGGTGGACTTGAGCCCTTGGGGGGTCTCTGCCTACCTCCTTCCCCCTCTTCAGTGTCCTGGCTAGGGCTGGCACATCCTCTGCCCTGTGGGCCTGCCCTTGGCTGTGGGGTCCCCCTTGGCGGGGGGGGCAGGTTCTCCTTGCCCCAGAGCTGAAATTGCATTGCTGGCCCTGTGTGCCCCTTTCCATCCTGCCCAGTGCTTTGCCAGGCCAGCAGTGTTGGTGCAGGGGATGGGAATTGTCCCTGCCCTTTGTCCATCACCCTGCTGGCACCTGGGCGTTATGGGCTTAGGAGGTGGTGGTGCCATGGGCTCTGCTGTACTATGTGGGGCTGCAAAAGCACCCTGGGGGAAGGTTATGCCAGCGTGGGCGGTGCTTGCTGTGCTGTACCAAGGGGCACTGACTGCTGCTTCCCTGCAGGTCGCTGGTACATGCAGCCCCTCACCTACTACCTGGAGGGCCAGCCCGAGGCTGAGCACCTCCTCCGAGCCACTGTGGTCTACCTGCCCAGCCTGCCACTGGCTCGCGGCCGCCTCCTGTGCATACTGGAGCTGGCATCCACTGGCAAGACACCTGGGACGCTGCTCAACCCTGCCGCCCACCCCCGCTATGGCTGGGCCGAAGCAGATGTGACCCCTTACCTGGTGCCAGGGAACAGCAGTGTGGGGAGCCTGGCATTGCGACACATCTGTGTGCGTGCCGGCCGGGCAGGGGGCCGCGATGTTCCAGTGGCTCCCAGCCACCCCTTCCTCCTCCTCTATCTCAACGACACCCAGGCGGGGCTAGCACCTCTGGCAGCGGAGCCCCACCGGCACCGGCGCGACACGGGGATGCTGGCCCATGACCTGCCCGGCTACCTGCGGGAGCAGGGAGGGGAGAAAAGTGACTGCTCCCTGCGTCCCTTCCCTGTCAGCTTTGCCCAGCTGGGCTGGGACCACTGGATTATTGCTCCCCACCGCTACAACCCACGCTACTGCAAGGGCACCTGTCCCCACCTGCTCCGCTATGACTACCACGCACCCAACCACGCTGTGGTGCAGAGCTTCGTTCATCAGCTGGTGGATGCCAATGTGCCCCGGCCCTCCTGCGTCCCCTACCGCTACAGCCCCATCAGCGTCCTCATGATCGAGCGTGATGGCAGCATCCTCTACAAAGAGTATGAGAACATGATTGCAGAGTCCTGCACCTGCCGGTAACGCCGATGCGCCGGCACGACACCTCGGGCTCTGCCTGTCCCTGCTGGATCCGGACTTTAGGGTTTGTCTTGCTCTGCCTGGGGTGGGTTTGTCCCCCCTCCCCGTGTGGCACTGCTCTGCGGGAAGGTTTTACAATGGCAGTTTTATGTAAATTGTAGGTTTTTAAAGGCAGGAGCCTGTGCTGGGGCAGTTGCCCCATGGCATCTGTCCTTCTTGCAGCCCCACAGTCACTGCCTGTTTTGGGGGGGCGGGGGGGCTTGGCCTGATGCTCCCAGGGAAGAGCTGGGTCCCTGGACTGGAGCACAAAGCTCTTAAGAGGTAGCTGGGGGTCTCCTGGTGGAGCCAGGGCAGGGAGGGCAAGTGGTCCAGGTGTCCCGGTGCTTGGCACTGAGCTGGTACCGTCAGTATCTGGTGCAACCCTGCCCATGGGACTCCTTTCCAGCACCCACGCACCCCATCCTGTCTAGTCCTAGCTGTGGTGGCACCTTACCAGGCTAGGAATTGGGCTGGGGAGGATGGGGGGGAAGCCCCTCTCCTCCCCTGCAGTTTTGCTGTGGGGGGCTGTGAAAACTGGAGAAACCCAAGCTGCAAGCTCTGCTTTCAGTGCCAGGAGCCAGGCAGCTGCTTGTACTGGGATCTGCCTGCTGCTTCCTCTGCCACCCCTGTCCTTCACCTCCTTGGCTTGCCCTCTAGCAGGGCTCAGGTCTCGCCCTATCCCAGGGGTCAGACCCCTGTCATGGTGTCCCTCTGCCTTCTTGCACCCTTGCTGTCCCACGGGGCTTGGGCTCTGCTGGACTCCTGGCCTGTTCCTGTTCCCAGAGGGGTTGGTCCCACTCCCAGCACCCCTGCTGCCTGGCTTTTCTCTATTTATTGCTGACTGTGTAAATAAATAAATTGATGGATTTTGCTAAAGACCATCTTGGCCTGTTCTTGCTCTGTCCTCGGGGTGCAGTGGGTACCCCCCTGGGACAGGCTGGCGTAGACTGTGTCACCAAGCTGCAACCCTTGCTCTTGTACTGGAAAGGATGCGTGCTGCTCCCTGCTGCGTGTGGGGGCTGAATCACAGCTGGTTCAAGCAGGAGCTGGGAGAAGAGGCTCCCCTGGAGCATCGATCCTCCCTGGGGCAGGGGGAACCACACGTGGCTGCAGGCAGCTGCCTTGGAGAGGCTGGTGACAAGAGATGCCCCACATCCCCAGGGGACCAGGAGCTCATGGGCTGTCTGTCACCATGGCCAAGGCATTTATTTGGCTGCAAGGGTTATTTTGGGAGGGTGTCTGCAGGCAAACCTGCCTATTCCTGGGCATGGTGTCCTGCGTTTGCAAGGCTGGAGCAAAGTTGCCCTTCTTTTGAGCAGTGAGGCACGGGTGGCAAATGTAATCTTTGTACCCAGTGCTTGGTGGCACTGCCACCTGCCAGCTGGGTACTGCTTCTGCATCCTCAGCTTGTGGCTCTTGCCAGGGTATCATCTCTTGCTCGGCCTACAGCCCCATTGCTGGCTCAAGCTCTGGGGGGATGTTTCAGCACTTCTTCCCCACTGTGGGACAGGGTGCTGCTGGCCCCCAGCCCTCCCCTACCTGCCAGTCCCAAAGTTTATCCCCCATCTTGGCAGAGTGAGCAGCTGCAGAGTCTCAGGCTCTGCTCCTGCCCCTTGCCCCTGGTTGGCCGTACAGGAGCTGCGTCCAGCCAGGAGGCTGTGGGGAGGGGAACATCTGCTTTTTTGGAAGCTCATGGGCCTGACCCCAGGGGGAAGATTTTCTCTTGTCAATCATTAAGCGTGTGGTGTTGACTCACCCAGGCAAGCAATGATGAAAGGCATGGGAGCTGGGTATGCTCCCAGCCCTGGGCACCGCTGGATGCTGGTGGCTGGTGCTGCCCCTGGCAGGGACCTGCACCCCTCGGACCTGCTGGCTGCCCAGAGATGGGTGGGCACTGGGTGGGTGTCTGTCCTAGCCCTGTGTTCTCATACACACTGTGCCAGTGGGCTTTTGTGCCCGCTGGGCTGGACCCCTTCCCAGGGGATGCCCAGGCACCTGGGGCTGCCCCAGCAGTGCGATATCCTCTGTGCTGAAGCTGGAGCAGCAGTTCAGGGAAAGAGACGCTGTCCCCAACTGACCCCAGCACCATGCATGTGTCAGCACCAGGACTGCCAGGGCAGAGCTGGGTAGAGGGAGCAGGGCCCCTGGCCACCTTGGAGGTGGCTCTTCCTGTGAGTCTCACGCCCATGTGAACCCCTCAGGCATAGCTTGGCACCTCACCAGCACCAGCCCTGAGGGGAGCACCAGTAACCCCGGCTTTGGGGACAAGCCCCGCTCTGCTCTCTGGCAGGGGTCTTGCCTGTGGGGCTGCTACCTGCGCTGGGAACTGCACCAGTGCTCCACTCCCTCCTAGACCAACGAACATGTCCCTGTCCCCTCCTGCCCTGCTCCCAGCCCCTTCTCCTGCCCCAAACCCCGCTCTGGGGCTTCGCTCTCTCTCTACCCATCCCCCTTCGCTACCCCTCCTGCTGTCCATCCCAAGCGGGCACTGCCACCTTGCACACCCCATCCTCTGGGGTGACCCCAGGCAGGGAGGGGGTGACCTGCCCCACATGCCCCAGCAGCATCTGGACAAATCGGGGCCGGGCACAGCACGGGGGTGGAGCTCAGCCAGCTGTGGGGCACAGCTGCCGCTGCAGGCACCCTGTGGGGGCTGTAGCTGGAGGCAGACAATGATGCCCAGGCACCAAGTACCTTGCGGGTGCCCCATGAATGCCCCGAAGAGGTGCTGGCAGCCCCCAGCCAGGGTGTAGGGGGGTGACATGGGGCTGCCCTGCCACCTGGGACCACTCAAATATTTGTGCAAGGCCGTGACTGGGGAGGAGCAGTGCCCAGTGGAGGCACTGGAGAGACCGAGTCAGCAGCACCATGGCAGCCTCAGCCCCTGTTGTGCCGGGTATCAGTCAAGGTGGCAGGGCCAGCAGGGCCCCCTCTACCCCCCCCAGGCACTGCCACAGGCATGGCACCGCTCCTCTCCCTCCTCTTGCTTCCTCCAGGTGGGTCTGGGCATGGGGGGTGGGCACCAGGGGCCAGGGGGCTTGGCACTCATCTTCCTGCCCCATCTGTCCCTCTGGGTGCTGCAGGAGCCTGGGGAAGCAGGGGGTCAGGCAGCCTACAGGCTGCCCAGCATGATACCCTTCTGGAGGATGGTGGGCAGAAGACCCCTGGGTGCCCACTGCCAGCATGGCCTCGAGTGCATCATCAGGGCCTGCAGGTGAGCAGGGACTCCTGGCCGTCCAACGTGAAACCCCGTGCCCAGCCCAGCCTGTGTCCTTGGGATCCTGCACATGTCTCCACCCCTACAATGTCTCCAGCCCTGGGACCTCCCTCCATGTACCTCGATGTCCCCAGCTGCAGAGCCCCACTAGAATCCCAACCCCACCAGCCACCTCAGCTTTGGGAATTTCCACCCTGGGACTCCCCACCCCGTGCACTGCTCCCCTCTGGGGGGGGTGCGTTCCCATGTACCCCAGCCCCTGTTGTCCCCCATGCCCAGCATAGGCACCCCTTGCGGCCCAGCCCCCGCAGAGCTCAGCTTTGCCCCCATTCCGGGGGTGCGCCCCTTGCAGGGACCCTAGTGCAATGCTCATGGCTGTGTTGCCCACAGGGCCGGGCGCTGTGCCCCACCACACTATGAGTGCTGACAGCCACCAGCAACCGCCGGAGAACCCGATCTGTGCTGGGACCGCCGGAGACCGGAGTGCACCCTGCACTCACTGCCCGGACAAGACTGCTTGGGGAAGGACCGTGTCCCTGAGCTCCCTGGGTTGGACTCTTTGTGCAAGCAATAAACCCGCTGCCCCCCTGCCTGCATCTGGCAGCTCCCTGCCCCCTGGGCAAGGACAGAGTACACGTGTGCCAGGGACACCTGAGTGTCACAGGGAGACAGGTGGCTCCTGCCTCTTGCCGGAGGGGTGCTGAGTCCGCCACAGCACCCTCTTGGCCCTGCCCTGACCAAAGGGATCCCCAGGGCAAGGGGTGCCAGGGTGGCCAGGAGCCCACCACACCCACACCCTGCCAGGGTCTGTGTGTGCACACGTTTGTGCATACGCCTATGCCCATACATGTTTGTGTATGTACCTGTGCGTACACGTGTGTGCATATGGTTATGAATGTGCACAGGAAAGTATATGTGTGTGTTCTGTGTACATATAGATGTATAGATGCATGTATAGATGTGCATGTGTGTGTATATGTGGGTATGTACATGTGTGTACACATGTGGATGTACATATGTGTGCATGTATTCCTGTCTCTGGATGTCTGTATGTGTGTATGTGTGTGCCTGTAAGTGCCGTGTGTGTGCTGTGTACACATCGAAGTGCAAGGGGGTGTGCGTGGATGTGTGTGTGTCCAGATGGGTCTGCCAGGCTGTGCCCATGTGCCCATGCAGGCAGGTGTGTGCGTGCATGTGTGCACAGCGTTACGTGTGCGTGTCCGTGCCTCTGTCCGCATGCAGGTCTGTGTGTCTGCCCAGGCACCAACACCAGCAGCGTGTCCGTGCGTCCATCCGTGTGCGCACACCGGCACTCGTGTCCATGTGTCTGTCTAATCCCACGTCCGGCCGCAGCGCTGCGCGGCCTCCTCCCGGCAGGGGGCGCTGTCCGCCGCCCTCCCGACATGGCTCCCCCCCCGCGCTCGCCATGGCGGCGGGTCCTGGCCGCTCGGTAGTGAGCCCCGCGGGCAGGGGCCGGGGCCGCCGCCGCCGGCGGCGATTGCGGGGCACCGCGGGCGAGAAGAAAGCTTCTAAGATGTCGCGGTGCTCGGGGCAGCGGTGCGGACGGCAGCGAGTGGTAGGCACCGCGGGGCGGGGCGGGGGCGC